AATAAAAGAATTTAATACAAAAAAAAAATAAAATAAAATATATAAAACTATACTACTTATGAATTCAGATGATCCTTGACTTAAAATAGGGTTATGTCCCAACAAAACCACTGCAAGATAAAAACACATTTAATACACTTAACCTATGGAAAATCATAGTTTAGCAACATAGTACACTATAGAGTATCAGTTGATCCCCCTTGTGATCACATGGCTGACTGGGAGCAGCAGCTAGCTGTGGATACTTAACATCACAAGAGAGTACCACACTACATATCATTATCCTGAGGGGAAAAAAAAAATCAAAATTCAAAGTACAGTTTCTACTGAATTCTTATTGCTTTCACATAATCAAAATTTAAAAATGTAATTTAAGCCACTGTAAGTTAGAGACTGTGTTTATAAAGATATAAAACATGAAAGAAAATGAAACAGCAAATTCATGATAGTGGTTACATCTGGAAAGGAGAAAAGAGAATGGGATTGGTAAAACATGGATGTCTTCAGGTATATCTATAATGATTTACTCTTTTTAATTAAGTATGGAGATTAAGATGATAAATATGACTGGCTTGGTACACAGGTATTTGCTATATTATTCTATAAATCTATGGTATATTAGTAATGTTTCATAATAAAAAGTAAATAAAAATTCAAGCTATCCTTGAGCAAATAGCAAGAACATATCAGAAATTCAACCACTCAAAGGAAAGTGCTTTAATACCCTTCACCCACAACAGCTTTATAAAAAATACATTGATAGAAATTGGCAGTATTGTTTTGGTTTTGTTTTTAATTAGACACAATAAATTAATACTCTAGGGCAGTGGTGGTGAACCTATGGCACGCATGCTGCAGTGGGCTGTTTGTATCACTAAAAGCTCTAAAAGGTTTGCTGTCACTGGTCTAGGGACTTGTATTCTCTCTTTAGGTGGCATGGTAATGAAGCATATTCCATTCCAGATGTAACATATACCTTGGATGTGAAATAATGAATTGATCAATAAAACAAAGATTATTATATACAACGTTACTTGGTTATGGGTTTGCCAATTTTGCAAAGCTTAGAGGACCTTGTTTTCACTTTACTGCTTTACAATCAGCAACTTAAGTTATATGCCAAATTAAAGCCAGGTGGAGCACTCCAAAAACTCAGATAGTAACTAACAATTAACCCTACTCACAACCAAGTGGTCAATTATTTATTGACTAATTCCAGAGGCACCATGGCTACTAGCGATGGCAGCTCTATGAATACAACTTGATTATCACCAGACTAGGAAACTGCAGGTCACTTTTCCTTTAATTCAGAAATTCTAATGGGTATGGATTGAGTCTGATCAAGATTTCTTTAAAATTCTAAGGGTGGATTAGGACCTAAGAAAAGCACAAAGAACATCATAAGAAATATGCTACTTATATACCAGTAGTATGCAGGGAACAAATAGTCAAGGTCAAGAAACATGATCACTGTGCCTATGTCATGATCTTTGATAAAATCGAAGCTAATTTCAAAGTACTACTTTAGGTAGAGGTAAATAAAAATGGAAACATCTCATGTTATTTTCTTGGTTTGGCCTATACCTTGTTTGGTTCCCCTGGATTATATGAAGAAAACATAGGAATTTTTCGGATCTCTTCCTCTGACAAACGATTTCTTTGGATCTCATCTTCAGGGACAAATTCTATTGGCTGCGTCAGCTTCTTAGGCCCAGTCCAACACTGCTCAGGTGAAAAATCAATAACTTTTGCCACATGGAGACTGGGACCTTTACCCTGTGCTGCCTGTTTTCCCTTGTCCTGGAGTAATGATGGGTTCTCAGCTGTGCCACTATCACCCACTGATGTAGCTGAGACCAGTGAGTGGGAAGCAAAGGGTTCACCTCTCATAACTTGGAACTCTTCAAGACGTTTTCTCATTATCATCTCTTGGTAAAAATTTTCCAGGTTGTTCATGGGATCACCTTTGTTCTTCTTTTGGGGTTCATCTGGATCAAGACAAAGAGATAGGGAAGTTCTACAAAGCCTCCCAGTACAAGCTTTGACAAATAAAAATTAGGTCCTAGATCTCAGATATCAAAACTCTGCTAGGAAAGGTGTTTACAACCTGTGACAAATGACATTAGTATATACAGCTATCTTATTATAGTGCATTTCAAGCAAGGCCAGAATGATGGTGAGGCAAATAAGGCACCTAGGACTCTCAGGGTCATGTAAGAGTATATGTAACTCTAACTGATAAAGACACTTGAAAAATATAACTAGTATGGTATTATTACAATTCATGAAATTAATAATTCATTATCACCAATTTCATATTTAATTGCCTTATCAAAGATTTTTTTCACATTTGGTTATTCAGAATCTAAATCAGTCTTTGCCTGTTAACATCTCTTAAATCCCTTTTATTCTGAAACAATGCCCTTTTCTTCTATCCATCCAGCCTTTTATTTCTCTCCCAACTATTATTAGAGGAACCATATTTGCTATATGAACAGATGAATTTGATGAATTATTTCTTAAGATGTTAAATTGTTCCTCAATCCTCTCTGTTCCTTTGCAGTTATAACTATGATATCTAATACAGTAGTCATTAGCCATATGTGTGTATTATAAATTTTTAATGTCACTTTCTCAAACAAACAGTACATTTCAAATGCTCAATAGCCACATGGCTAGTGAATACCATATTAGACAGAACAGATAAAGACTATATAATTGCAGAAAATTATATTTAACAGTGCTGGTCTAAAGTTCTGATTAGATTCATGTTCAATATTTTTAGGCAAGAATCTTTCATAGATACATGCATTCTTCCTGTGTAACATGCTGTTATGGTTTAGATCTAAAATGTTCCCTAAAAGACTAATGCTTGGAAGTAGAGCCTGGTTGAAGGGGGTGGATCACTGAGGGCTGACATTGAAGGGTATATTCTTGTCCTCAATTCCTCTCTTCTATCTCTGCTTCCTGGCTGCCATAAGGTCAGCAGCTTTCTTTTGTCATGTCCTACCACCATGCCATTTTGCTTTGGAGCCAGCCTTGAACCCAATGGAAACTGTGAACCACAATAAATCTCTCCTCTTTTAATTTTAGGTTTTGGGTATTTTGTCCCAGGGAAAGGAAACTCACTAATACAGAAAGTTGGTAGCAGAGAAGTGCAGGTGTTGCTATGAATGTACCTCACCATATGGTTCAGAAGCCTTTGGAACTGGTTTGTAGGAAGAGTTTGGGGAGGTTTGGAGATGCCAGCAGAGAAGCCTTAGAATACTGTAAATAGAGATTGATGCGAGATGCTGGTGGGAGTTGAGGACAACAATGCTCATAGGAAGGAGGACAGTAATGGCCAGGCTCATGATGTTTCAGATGGGAATGAGGACTCTTAAAAACTGAACTACAGGGCCGGGGATTTAGCTCAGCGGTGCTGTGCCTGCCTCGCAAGTGCAAGGTCCTGAGTTTGATTCCCAGTACCACAACAACAACAACAAAAAACTGGACTAGAGGACATGCATATCACATTCTGGAAAAGAATTTGTCTTCTCATATTGCTAAGTGAAATAAAGCAGACACAGAAAATTAAATATCACATGGCTTTTCTCATATAAGCAATCCAAAGGATAAATAAAGAGCAAAGTAAATGACAACTTATAGGAAAGAGGGAAGTAGACCCTTTGTAGATGGGAAGGGGTCTTGGGATGGAAGAAGAGTGGAGAGAGTGGAGGGGAAGGGGAAGTAAAAAGGATTAAGATGTGATATGTATATATAGCAACTCCTCATTATGAATGTACTAATTATGTATTGCAAATATGTATTAATGAAAAATGAGAATTTGCCTTCATTTGTTCCATTCCCTAAAGCTTTGGGTGAGGCTGAATTTAAAGATAGTAAACTAATTAATCTGGTGGAGGAAATTTCAAGGCAGCCCAATGTTCAGTCTGTGGCATGTGTATTGCTGGCTGTTTTTATCCAGATCTATAATGAGAATTAGGAGGAAAAAAGTAGAGCTAATGATATGAAAAGTTTACAGTTTTTCCAGAAAGGAAGCACCTGCAAAGTTGCGGCAAAGGACATTTTGGTTGCTGAAAAGATTAGCATTTAAAAAAATCCAAGTACTTTGTATTAGGACAATAGGAAAGATGCCTTAAGGGCATCTCAGGAAGTGGCTAGACCCCACCCATTGCAACTTCCAGGATGTAAAAAGGAAAACTCTTTTGAAAGACTTTGCTTTCAGAAGACAGATGCAGGGTGCACTGTTCATTCAGGACTGCCTAGGGAAGTGTATACATGAGTTCAGCCATCCAGGCACTCAGAGGCCTCTGCAGTTGTGGTCCAAGGGGACTAGGCTACTGCTCACAGTGGTGGCAGACCTTGGTATCATTCAAGTGGTGCTGGTTTTTCAGGTATGAAGAATGAAACAGTTGTGGGGTCATGGAGGATACTACTCAGATTCCGAAGGAAGACCTGAAAGGCCAGGCAATGTGCCCCTGAAAGGGTGATGCATAAAGCTGTGAGAGTGAAGCCAAAAATGCAGATGAGACCCAGAAAGTTGGAGATGTCAGGAATGTGGAATGTCTACTGAAGAAAACCACACATAGCAAGTGGAGTTGGTGCAAGAGGGAAGCCATGTGGGCTGCAACCAACAAGGCTATAGGAGAAGGGCTACCCAAGCCCTTTGGAACTTACAGCTATCACCTACCATGGGTGTTGGACACGGAGCTACAGGATTTGATGTTTGTCCTGCTGAGTTTCAGTCTGGCTTTTGTCTGATTCCTTTCTATCCCCCTATTCCTCTCTTGGAATGGGAATGTTTGCTCTGTGCTAGTGTATGTTGGAAGTATTTAACTTTTATTTTATTGTTACAAGAGCTCACAGCTAAGAGTTTGCCTTGAGTCTCAAAGGAGACATTGAATTTGGACTTTTCAGGGCCGGGGATTTAGCTCAGTGGTTTCGCCGCCTGCTGAGCAAGCGCAAGGACCCGAGTTTGATCCCCGGTACCAAAAAAAAAAAAAAAAAAAAATTTGGACTTTTCAGTAATGCTGGAAATGTTAAAACTTTCATGACTCTTTTGCATAATGAGGTAAACATGCTACTTCGGGGGCCAGGGCTGGAATGTTATATGTTAGATCTAAAATGTCCTCCAAAATCTCATGTTCCTCAGGGGGCCTGGTCAGAGGGGCAAGTCAATGGGGGCATGACATAGGAGAGTGCATTCTTGTCTCCAGTTCCTCCCTTCTCTCTGCTTCCTGGCTGCCATGGAATGAACAATTTTCTCCATCATGTCCTTCTACCATGCTGTTTCTGCCTTGTAGCCATCTAACCATGGACTGAACCCACTGGAAACTGTGAGCCCAAAATAAACTCCCTCTTCTTTAATTTGTTGGTTTCAAGTACTTTGTCTCAGCAATGGGAAGTGACTAATATTCATGCCACAAAACACATACTGTTTTGTGATTGCATTTTTAGTGATGCTAGAATTAGTGGGTTCAGGTAATGTCAGTCTTATTTCACTATTATAATGTTTTTCCATTCACTTGTCACCTATGAGTTTCATATCCATTGATGATCATTATCTAGATTTATTGAGTTGCAAAGTGGGGTTTTCCTAATGTTGTTATTTCATTTGTACTTATTATCTGGATTTCTAAATGAACTTATCATCATCAACTATTTGGTTTCCATAAATACAGCTCATACAGGAAAAGGCAGGATAAATGTTTGATTCTTTCCCATTCTTTATCAATCATGAATTTCCTAACCCAAACCTGGAATACTTCTCTAAGGACCTCTAGTTCCTTTTCACTGGGAAGTGGTATTTAGAAACCAGTGTTGCTAGGTGTGTTCATTACTGTTGAATTGTTGGTTCCAGGCCTTTTCAGTGAATAAAGCTAGGGTAGTTTTTTAAAGAGGAAAAGTAGATCATGAGTTTACATTAGTATTTCAAATTCAAATTTAAGATTACAAAGTTTTAAAATTAAGCTCCTTGACTTTTCACCTGTTTTTTATGTGCTTAAGATACTGAATCTTAATATTATCAAAATGATTTATGGGCTTCTTCCTATATGTACAATATAGAACTTTTAAATTTCAAAACAATACTATTATTACTATCATCAAGCTTAAAATTAGTGAATACAGTTTTATATTTTTTGCAGTTATTTTCCTTAGAATAAATCTTATTAGGAATATATAATTATTACTTTAAAGGCACTACAAGTAATTCTTTTCTTTGTGTGGCTAAACTATCAACTTTATCTTAGTTTCATATGTTTCAGGTTGCTTTGCATTTTATGGATTTTCCCCTTTTTTTGTGATACTGGAGATTAAACCCAGGGTCTTGTACATGCTAAGCAGGCATTCTATGCTACATCCCCCACCCCTTTCCCCTTTTTGATTAATTATACAAAACACAGGATCTAAAGTAAAAACTGCTATATGGTACCTTCACAGAAATGTTACTTCCATTTCTCTTCCCTTCATCTCATTCCCTTCCTTCCCCATAAATATTTTAAGTTTGCCTTGTTTTATTTTTTAAAATATAAGCAAATAGGGACACATATACACACATACAAATCCATTAGTTATACCCTTCTCCTACATGAAGATATTATAAACTCTGTTCCATAACATTTTTTTGTATTTAATATAGCCTAGAGATAATTCCTTATTAGTGTAAAGCACTTCTTCCTTCTCATGGTTGCACAACACTTAATTATGTGATGTACAATAGTTTACTCTGTGGATGTACAACAGCTGACACTGACCTTATATCCAGTCTTACGCTGTTATGAATAATGCCCTGAAAAGTGGCCTTGTGTATATAAGGTTTGGTATTTTTCCAGAATGTCTTTGAAATAGATTCTAAGGAGTAAAACTGCTGGTACAAAGGGTAAATGTGTGTGTAATCTTTCTACATATTATTATTTCACTCTGTAGGGGTTGTACTATTCTGTATTTCCACCAGCAACACATAAGAGCATTTATGGAAATATTT